ATCCGAAGATCACACCCCTACTCCATGCTTAGTGTGCCGGCTTCCCTTCCTTAATCACATGTGGCTCTAGACCTCTGAGGCCCAGAATTGTGCCAGCCTTCCCTAGACCTGGAGCCTTAGGTGACCCTTCTGCCACACTGTGTACCTAAAGACAGTCCCACGGCAACTTGCTTTCTGAGAGCAGACACTATGGTTTGTTTCTATTAGATTGAATCATATGAAACTGCCACTATTGGCCTTTTTAGACTATAGAAATGGCAATTTCATATGGTCTAACCCAATTCAAGGAACCAGATGAATTGTGAGTGACCCTGCTTGGCTCTGTTTTTCTGTGAGAATCAGGACTTTCAGGCAAGCCCACATTTTTCTGCCAGAGGATTTAGACAAAGAGATAGAAAATAGACCAAGCACCTTGACAATTGCTTTTCTTCAGCAAACCAGACCCAGTGATTCAATTCAATTTGAAATAACTGTCAAGCCCCATCTCATTTTTATTTCTTGGCAGTCCCAAAAGAATAACTGTGTTGTCTGCAGTGAGTCTATTAAATGCAAGATTCTGCTCTCTTCTCCATCCTGTCTTGCAGTCCTGACACACACAACATCCAGACCCAACTCCAATTACTCTCCTCCATCTCCCTCGCTTGCCTTCCCTCTCCCTTCTTCCCTCCCTCCTAAAAACTCCCAAGGTTAACATGAAACATGTAGTTTCCAGAGAGGTCACGGATGATTATGAGGGAAAATGAAAATATTTGCCTATGGAGGAAACTTTCCACATGTGAACCACGATTTCCAGATCCTGGTTTGAGCCAGAGTTGGACTTCCCCAGTATTGATAGACATTCCCCTGGGGATACTCTGCTTTGCGATGTTTTCAGGAAGAAAGATACACACGAATAGCCATGATTGAGTACCTGGATGAGCATTCTGGGAATTTTCCCAGAATGCTTTGTGGTAGAGAAACCTAGCATGAAAGGGATCTGATATTGTAGTTTAATCCAAATTGGCATCATGCTATTCGACAGGTCTCCTTCAATCCTTGACATCTCACTTAGAAGTATATCTTCATAAACATACTGCTGTAAGTGATATAAGTTTTGTAAGTGATGTTACTGATGTAGTGATGGAGAAGAGTTCCTCTCTGAAAGATACAAACATCATCTTTGCTTTGAATCCTATCCTCTTAAATTTCCTTTGAGACCTGGGTCCATAAATTATTCCCTCTTCTCAATACCTTTAGTTTCCCCTTCTTTATTAGCTCTTTGTTCTTTGGAATTAGACATCTTCAAGTATTCCACCTCTTAAAATAAAAGCAAAGGAAAAAACTTCTATCTTCTTTCTTGCTCCATTAACCATTCCCTCTCCTCATCTACTCTGTCAGTCTTTTTGAATAAGGTGATTATACATGATGTCTCTACTTCTTTACTTCACAATTTTTTACTTACAGTGAGCTGGCTTAGATCCCTACCTCTGTATAGAAACAGCCATTGACAGATTAATGGTGGCTTGTTTGTTGTTAAAACCAAGAGACTCTTTTCCTTAACCTCTAGGCAGTACCTGGCATTGTCTACCATGACCTTATTTTTAAAATATACTTCTTTTTACTTATGAAATGCCAAACTCTCCTAGTTCTTTTTCACCTCTGCAGGCCTTTGGTCCTCTGTTGGTTGCCCTCAATGCTGTAGCCTAAACTGTCTGCTTTTCTCATTCTACATACATTCCAGGGGTGCACTGAATCCCCTGTGACATCCATAACCTCCTCTATGTGACGATTCCTAATTTACCACCTGCATCTCAGATATGTCTTTGACCATGAGTCAATATTCCTCTACACCTATGGGACATCTGCCCTTGACCAGGTCACTTGCCTCCCATTTAACACTTTCAAACTGAAATCTGAAGTTTTCCCACCCCAACCAGTTGTGCTTCCTACATATGGTGTCACTATCCACTGGTTGCCCCAACCAGAAATCTAAGAAGAACCCTGGATTATTTTCTTTTGTATTCCCTTTAGCCAATTAGACTTCAGACTTCGAGTCCTATAATTCCATCTCTAAAGACTCCACCTGCTGATACTATCATCTTGGGAATTAGATTTCAGTGTGTGGCTTTGGGGGAAAAAAAATATTCAGACCACAGCAGCAAGTCATCCAGATCCCACTGTTCATCGGTGATTGAGCTAGAAGGCAAATCAGGGCTGTCTGGCTCTGAGGTGCTTTGCAACATGTGGTAGACAGTAGACACTGGAATCATACTGCCTGTGTTCTAATTTGGCAATATGAGTTTACCAGGATGTGGTTAACCTCCTCAGGCCTCAGTTTTATCTGTGTATTAAATGTGAATAAAAATACCTCTTCTAGAGTTCCAGTAGGGATTAAGGTAATAACTATAACGTATATTCCTTCAAGTGGTATGATGTAAATATTAGCTATAACTGTCACCATCACCATCATCATCATTACTTTTAGGGCCTCTATTTGCCAAAAAACAGGCTCTACTGGGCCATAAGATGAGTGAGTATTCAATGTTGGTTTGAAAACTAGCATTCTTTGGAATCTAACCGTTGGTTAAGGGTGTTCAGTAAACTCTAAGAGGTCTTAAAAGTACTGGTTGAGTATCTACTATTGGAAATGCTTGGGACCAGAAAAATTTCAGATTTCACATTTTTTTTCAGATTTTAGAATATTTTCTTTATACATAATGAGATATCCTGGTGTTAGAACCCAAGTTAAAATATGAAATAAATTTATATTTCATGTACACCTTATTCATAAAGCCTGAAGATAACTTTACATAGTATGTTGAGTGTACCTGTATTTTGTTTCCAACCTGTCATATGAGGTCAGGTGTGGAATTTGCCACTTGCAATATCATGATAGCTCACAAAATTTTTAGATTTGGTTGCATTTCCGATTTTTTGGTTAGGGATGTTCAACCTGTATAGTCAAATAGCTCCAGAACAGATCACAGCTATATGGTAGATATTCATCACACGTATGACAGACACTATTTAACACAGCAGGTTAGTCAAGAGTGATGTTATAGGTGCTGCCCTATAAGTAGAGTTAATGTTTTCAGGGGAAAATAGTAGCTTAACCAGCCACATGTGGAAATTCTATCTGGCAGCTGCCAAAATCATATTTGAATGACCTGATGTAACTTATAGTAATATTAGAAGTACGTATCATATATGAAATAATATTTTATCGTTGTTAACTAAATGTCTAAATGTCTGGCACTTTGTTAATTGTCATAACAACTCATATATTGGACAATTTTATTATTTCAATATGAGACAACTAAGGCTCCAACAGGTAAGGACAAGTCTGGCATTTGAAACCAAGTCAGGCTGCCTCTTTTCTTTTTTCTTTTTCTTTAAAAAATTCTTTTTCTTTTTTAAGATTTATTTTTTGCTGATACATATAAAACAAAATTATACATATTAATGGAGTATCATGTAATGATCTCGTGCTGGGGCTTCTTAGCAGTCTACTTCAAGGGCTTGATTTTGTGGATGAGCTCAAGACCCCATCTTCATTCATGTCCAGACTTTGTTACCCTCAAGCAGATTCTCCAGGGCAGAAGTGTGGCCAAAGCATTCTAAGATGGAGAGATATCCCTGAGAGTTTAGTTCAGTTCTCATGTTCCCCATGGGTAGCATCTTCCTGATTGAAATCAGAGGGACACGTGACTTACACCTTGCAAACAGCTGGCCTTGCAAGGGAGCCAGGCCAGACTCTCCCTAGTGCAATTTCATTATTATTTTCTAATGAGAAATAGATTTGGTCACACCAAGTAGAATTCACATTAGGCCTTTATTCTGAGAAAAATGTTAAAGTTTCCACTTTGCCTGGAACTAATCACAGTCTTCATATTCTTCAATTGAAGTCTACAGTGTCCTGGACTAAGAATATCTTAGCAGCTTCTTTCCTAACCTTTTACTTTTTTATATATTTGCTTACTCACTTAATGTTTTTTCCAGCGTTCTTCTTTCTAAACTTTGGTTAGCTAGTAAACATAGACAAAAGGATTCTTCATACAATTTGGCTTGAATTTATGGACAGACCACAACTTAATTCTTAAGAAATTAATTAGCTTTGTTGGTATAGATTTTCTAAGAGGAAGAGTTATCAATCATCATATTTTTTTAAACTTAGAACTTCAAGATTAGAAAAAGGATATTCCTTTTTTTATTGGTACCAAGGATTGAATTCGGAACCTTGCGCTTGTGAGGCAGGCGGCGGAACCACTAACTAAGCTAAATCCCTGGCCTGAGAAAGGATATTCTTAATACCTTCTGGTTCCAGAAACATTGTGGAAGATTTGATATTTTTAGTTGACTAGAAAGAATAAGTAGAACACACAGTCACAACACACATTGGTCAACGAGAAAATTGTGTCTATGTTTCTTGTGCAACAACTGCGTCTGTAGGAGTTGGGTTGGGGTTTTGGGGTGGGGAAAGGCAGAGTTACTTTACATCCATGTGAAAAAGATGGATTTCCTATCATGAGAGAGTTCACAATTCACTTGTTCTTCCCAGTAGAAATAATAAGTAAAATAAGCAGGGATCATTTGGAGGATTCAAAGAACAGTGTAAACCAGGAAAAACTGTTGGCCACAACTAGGTGTCTTTGAAGGCTGGGTACTAATTTGGGGATTTGAATGTACTATTTCTCTCTAATTTTTTATTTCTTTCTCTTTTTGCCTTTTCTTTGCTGTTGCTTATTGGTGGTTTATCATTTATCAACATTATGCTAAGCGCATTACCTACCTTATTTTATTTAATTTCCACACAAGTCTATGAAAGAAGTGTAGTTATTACCTCTAATTGAAAAACAAGGAAATCAAAGTTCATAGAGATTAAGTAACTTGTCCCAGGTCAGACAGAGGGAAGAGGTGAAGCCAGAATTTAACCCTAAAAATCTCTTGTTCTAGACTTTGATCTCTCAACCACCATGTCATACTGCTTCCTCACTTAACCCTCTTCTGTTCTCTGTCTCCAGGGACAGGATGAGAACTTCAGTCAATGTTGTGGGTGACTCTTTTGGGGCTGGGATTGTCTATCACCTCTCCAAGTCTGAGCTGGATACCATTGACTCCCAACACCGAGTGCATGAAGACATTGAAATGACCAAGACTCAGTCCATTTATGATGACATGAAGAATCACAGGGAAAACAACTCTAATCAGTGTGTCTATGCTGCACACAACTCTGTCATAGTAGATGAGTGCAAGGTATCTTTCCCATTCCTGGACATTGAAACCTGTATATAGTAGTGCATGCTCCATTCTTAGAAGATAAACATAAAGCCCTGCATCCATTATTATCACATATTTTTTAAAAGAATCATGTAACCCCAGCTTCTGTGAGTGCCAGATCATCTAGCTCTGTGTCTAACATGATGGAAAATCAACATGCCCCAAACTGAAAATCAACCAGCTGCTTATTTCATCGTGATGTATTCTGATTCCCACATCCACCCTGCTCCACTAATTTGACTATTTTACACATGAATTTGTGGTTGTTGGAGCTTTACTGGCTCCTCAAATGGAATATTGAGAGAAATAGACAGAATTTCATTTTTATAGCATGAATATTCCTTCTTGCACATATTAGCCAAAAATATGCTCATATATTTGCTGATCTATCTTTCTCTTAATTGTCTCTGTGGGAAGGGTGTTTTTTTGGTTTTTTGTTTGGTTTTTTTTTGGTGCCAGGGATCGAACTTGGGTCCTTGTGCTTGTGCAGCAGGCGGCAAAAGGAAGGGTGTTTTAATGTGGCAGTTACCTTTCTCCCAAAATGGGGAAGCAGTTTTAAGAATAACTGTCTTTCAGAACAATGATCCAGGGAAGTCTTTTAAAAAACATTGTCCTCTCATACTGCCCGGCAGTGCCATCTTTTCTGGAGCACAGATGTTCTGGGTTCTCCTCCAGGCTGTTGGGTACCAAGTCTTAAGCTTGATGGGCTGTGTCTCCCCTTCATTATAACCAACTTGACATTGTTAAAAGGCTAAGTGTCATGACCAGAGTGAAGCAAACTTGGAGAAACCCTGGCAGATTCACAGAGTTACCCTTTTTCACCCATGATGTTTTGCTAAAATGTTTCTGTATAGCAACTGAGGACAGTCTGAACCCAAGACAGACCTCTGGTACCTTTCTGACTCTTGTTGGTAAGATCAAAATTAATCTTTAATTTCTTCCTGTGCTACGTCTGGGACTTTCCAAGTACACATCATGGTATCTGCCAGACAACTAAGATTGACAGAGAAACAGTTCTCTCTACTGGACAAAATTCTGGTGGACAAAATCTTGTGCTTATCTCCTTTACTTTAGGTGCCTGTGTGGGTGACCAGAGCTACGATACAAATTAGGGAGGGAACCTACCCGTCAAAAGGCAGTTAATTCACTGACTCAGCAAACAACTACATTTGTAAAAATTCAAATGTACCTAAATGGGATAATCCATTCTTTTGAAAAGTTAGTGTTTTTCCAATCTGAAGTAATGTGCCAGATTATTCTTATGGAATGGCTTTATACACTATTATATTTAACAAATACTTGTGTGCTTTGTGAGGTTTAGTTGAGTGTCCCCACCTCATTCCTGTAAGGTCCTATATTTTGATCATTCACCAAGTATTCATTGAGTCTGTGTTTCCTACAAAGCCCTGAATTAGGCACTGGAGGACGGCCAAAAGAATATACAGTGATACAGGGGAGATGAACTTGGACTCAAACTGCCATACAAGAAAAATAGTTTGAGACACAATGAATTCCCTATATATATATATTTTTTTCAGTTTCATAGCTGTATTAAAAATAAGCCTGGTGGCTAATTATGGTAAGGCCCATTTGGAGCTTCTCAAGAGATTTCTTAATATTTTCATTTTTGAAAGGCAAGGTAAATGGGCATGGAGATGTCCTTAGGTTTCAGAATTCCTGGATCTTTCTTTTTTTAAATAACATCAGAAGAAATCTGCTTCATTTATTTAAGTAAAATACTTCCAATTTTAAAGGAAGATGTTTGTGAATTCCCTTCTGTAGGAAGTAAGTTAATGAGAAGGGAACATTTCTCATCACCTAAAAAATGTCTGGCATATTGTAGGTACTCAATAAGTATTTCTTGAATGTAGCTTTTTAGTATCTAGATTCCATGCTATATTTCAGAAAACTTTTTTGCTGGACAGTTTCATAAAGATAGTTGTTCAGTCTCTTTATAAAATTGACTACCCAACCAACCACCTGAAGACACATTGGTTAATTGGCATTTAGATGGTCAGTGACCAAACTGAACAGGAAATGAGGATGATGAAAATGGGCATGTTGGTTTACTAATTATTACAGATGTTGTATTTTTAGGGAAAGAGTTTGGGTTCAGCTCAGTTAAGCTGAGTTGCTTCTCAGGCTTTGCCAGGTGAGACAAGTTGACTCTTCTCATTTTAGATCGGTTAAGTATGTTGACACTGATAAGGGAGGAGTTAGCCAGAGCTATTGGGATGAATGTACACTCTTTTTCACAATATGGGGGTCACATTTTCATTTCCCTGAACTTTCTTCCAGTCCATTGCTGCTTCTCCATTTTTAAAACCATGGAAGATGTCAATGCGTTCTGCCAATGCCCTCCCCTTTTGCTTTCCTATCACCAAGTGGTTAGACCAGAAAGAAATGGAATGGATTGGCATGTGGAGTCTCAATTTCCTTTATTCAGCTAGAAAAAGAAATACCAGAAAAGCCACTGTCCCAGCTCCTTTTGAAACACGGTCCATGGTATTTACAGACAAAAGACAAAAAGCAGCTCCCCGAAGTACAGTCTGGTTCTTCCAAAGGCACAACCCTTATAAGATTGCACTGCCGTTGATCTGGTTCATTCCTAAAAGCCATATCAGCACATTTAAGCTCATAGCAAACAAGCAGCTTTCTCCAGACAGACAGTCTGTCCCTGTCTGTCCTTGACAGTTCACTGAAGGGCAAACCAACTTGCTGCAGCTCTGGTCAAAATTTTAACCACTTCAAGTATTGTTATGTCATGTTGGTCTCTCTATTTTCAAATCCTTGGCTGGTAATACTAGTAGTTTAAAGTCATGCAACATCTTTTTAAATTTTAGTCAGAATAACTGCATGTGCGAAGCTATTGCTAACTGCATGGACTTTCTAAAAATGGGGAGGTGGGACTTGGAAGAATGAATAGTTTTTTCTTTTTTATTTGCTTGGTTTGTGAAGGGCACTTGGTTCTCTGTACTTAGCATGTTATATATTTGTGATGCATGCATTTCACTTCCACTTGGGTAAGAAGAAAGTCAGATTTCTTTCAAACATTGCTGCGTTTGTCATGTCTCCATATTCTAATGCTTCCATAAATCCAGTCTCTCCATTATGTGGAATATCAGTCGTGGGTTTAAGTATGCACATGACGTTGAGGACAGACAGACAGAAGGTAAGCTAGGAAAACTACTTAGAAGTGGAGGGGAGAACCTTCCATTCTGCATAAGGGTTCAGTTCACTTTGATCCAGGGGAATATGATGTAGATAATCTGGTCATTATATTTGATTAATAAGTTGTCTGCACTGAAATAATTTAGATTACATAGTCATTGATGTTAAGATTTTAATCCTTCCCTTCTTTTTCTTTTTAATTTTTAAAACCAAGATTGCTTCTTTGGTAGAGCCAAACCATCATGATTTCTGATTTTAAAACTGAATACGTACAAAGTCCTCCTGGCCTCATTGCAACTGAACCTTTTACATGCATGAGTAGAACTAGCTACCTAGTTCTGGATATTTTTTTTTCTCTGTGGTTGTATGGAGTAGCACATTTCAGTCACTATATTTTAAGGACTATGTCATTCTGCAATGAGTCCTATGGGTAGTGAGGCACCCTACAACCCTAAAAATATAACAGAAGTTATCCCCCTTCTGCAATGCCTCAATACCCACAAGACGAATGTCGATATTTTAATTCACAAATCCTTGTTGCGCACCAGAACAGATTCAGAGCCAATTTGGAATAACCCTACTTAAAACTAATATTCCTGTCATTTGTTATAACCTGAGATCTAGTGCTTCTCCATATAGCCCATGGCTTTTTCCTGGTTCATGGCCCGTAAGCTGGATGTTGATGATAATTACTTTCAGGTAACTCTGGCACCCAACGGAAAGTCAGCCGACTGCAGTGTTGAGGAAGAGCCTTGGAAACGGGAAAAATAAGGATCTGACTCTCAGCACATTCTTGAATAAACTCCCCAGCATATTGTATGGTAAAAGATGATGTAAACAAGCTTTCTTTAAAAAGGAAAAAAACGCATCTATTTCTATGTTTACTTAATCTGTTAGCTGAGGCTTAGAGGAGCTGTGGCGAGTCTGTGATGACAGGCACAGTGCTGTGTTTTTGCCAAATAATGCTTCATAACTGGCTAATTTTCTCACTCGTATTACGGTTTGAATGGATGTGCTGGAGGAATCCCTTTGAATTGAAGACGCATTCTTGCCAGCTTCTCTTCTCTCTCAGTGCAGAACTGTGGATGCTCTTTTCCCAAGTGACATGATAAAAGCAGTGTGGTGCCCTTTGGGGACTTGGGACAGTGAGCATTCACACAGTGTGTTAGTCTTTAAAGTGTTCCTGTCTTGCCTGTTTTCACACAAGAGATTCTGCTAAAAGCCTCTAGAAGTAACTCCTGTTCAGTCTTGTAGAGTTTGCACTTGTGCTGATTAAAAGCTAGTATCCGTGTTAGGGAATCCACGCATCTTACCTTTCGTGTGCTCTTTGAGGTGAATGTTTCAAAGAGAGTTTTAGTGGGAGCCATACTCTTACAGGCAGCTCATTATGGAACCCATCGCCTCTCTGCCCTGCCCTATCTAGTTTGTGTGAATAATGGTTAAAATTTCAAAAGATGTGTCATAATTCTCTCTAAATTTGACATCGGGTTAGGAAGTATTTTGCATACAACCACCATATATACATGTTAACAAACTTAATGGAGTGCAGACGACATAAATTTTAACCAGATTTAACTATCCAAATTCATTTGCATTTTATTTGTATTCATTTGGCACAGTGAGATTATGTGATTTATATTTTTTCTCTTTGTTTCACCCAAAAGATTTTCATTTGGGTTTCTAACAAAAAAATAATTCTTTGAATCTCTAAATGATTTCCATTGTATTCTCATCCACCTAGACGGGCCGATCCTTTGTCTTCCACATATGGAGGACGCTTGTGTTAGCTGTATCTCTTTTCGTGTCATACCTTGAAAAGACGAACTGGTATCTAACCAATATGTAGAAGGCTTTTTGTTATATCAAAGCACATAAAACTAATTACAGGACATGGTTGGAAGCAGAGCCAGTCTTCCTCCTCAGTAGGAAAGGAACAGAAAACAAACATGTACAAAATCCTATAAAGGTGATGTTTCTTTGGCATAGACCAGCCAGTCTTGGTCCATGAAGTGAGAACAAAGGATGACTGCACAACTTCCCAGATGAAACTTTTCAAGGCTATGAAAATTTGTAGGAATAAATAATATAATTGGCACATCAGAGGGCCTTGCATGTGGAAGGCAGCCAGAAAATCCTTGATGATTGGTTATGCAAGCTGAAGTTTTGTATGTCTCTACTACAATTTTCTATTGAATGACCCACAGTATTTTCCGAAGGTTGCTGGGTTGGAGAGTTAGCTGGGGATTTGAGTCATTGAGAGATAATGCACAACAGATTCTAAGAAGTAGGTAGAACATTAGTCCACATGTCTACATCTCCCATGAGGCCAGCAGAGGGATGCAGAAGTATTCATAAATAAGTATAGAATCCAAATTCTCTAAGAATAGGGACTGGTTGGGCATCACCCACGCTTTATTACCTAATCCTTATCACTTCTGTCTTCCAACCCATACAGCGTTGGAACATACAAAAGATGAGATTCCAGTTGTTTTTTGCCTCTTAAACCCTAGTTATTTTTGGATATGGATTGCTACTGAGCAGTATTAAGCAGATTTTTAAAAAGACCTTGGTCTTTGTTTTCATAAGATGGACAGCTAATAGAGGGGCTAAGGTCATGCTCAAATATAGTAGAGAGGGAACATATCCTTTACAGCAGACATGTGGGCCAAAGGGATAGTGGGTTTAGCTGTGAAACCCAGGATTTTTCTTTAAGTGCTACTCCAAGAGCTTTTTTATGGTGAGCAGAAAGATCTAGGCAGAGCATCTAGGAGCCGCTTGCTTTTTTGCTGTAGAAGGCCAACTTGACACCTGTATACACCAACATGTTTCTCAAAGGGGTGGTCGTTTTCTCAAGGAGAATTTCAGAATCATCTTCTCTACTCTGTGTTTGAAAATCTTTCTGGTTTCTTTTCTCTCTAGCTTTTTCCTAGCTATGCTGCTAGCCTGTAAATATGTAAGGGAGCAGTGTGTTCAAAAGAGAATTCACAGCTTCACAAAGCAGCCTTTTGTGGTTTGAAATTGCATACAACATCTAATGAGAATACACTTAGGAAACCAGATTTATCTGGAAATTCAATAAATTATATTAAAATGAAATAATTTATCAAATTCAAGAATAGCCTAAATATCCACACTGCATGTATAGCTGACATACGAGTATGTCCTCTGATGTTTTAGGCCTCATTCATTCTTCCATGCCATGCCCCTTGGGGATTCTCTTGTCCAGAATATGTGCCATAAAGAGAACAAATGGATCCAGAGTATACCTCTAATAGCCTTGACCTAAATGGGGTACCTGTCAATTATGTGTAGAGATTTATGCTAATGGGCTTATCCAGATACAAATGCTGATAATAATCCATTAATATTTGATGATACATAAATGTTGTATATCTATGTATAGAAAGAGCAGGTCAGGTACATATACTGCATCTGGTAAGGTTTATAAATCAGGACTTTGTCAATACCACTTTGTCATAGGCTTATTTTTTTAGGAATTAGAATCATTTCAGAGAAAACCAATTAAATAGAAATTCATCCTTTGCTTTTTGGGAAACCCAAGTGAGTGCACTCTTTAAGCATTTACTAAAGTTGAACAAATCCAACCCAATCAGTGAGAAGATAGCTTATTTTTCAAAGTAATGTCTTGCTTTAGATATTTGAGGATAGGTTCCCCACCCCCACCCCCCAGTATGAAGTACATCAGAGGATCTAGGCCACCATTTTGTTTATGTAAACAGATCTTCAGTAAAGGACCTTAAGTAACTTTAGGACCTCAGGTAGCTATCAGATCCCGTTTTTCACTTCTCATTGGGCATTGAAACATAGCCTGTGGTCTCCTTGGTTGCTGAAGTTACCATGCTCTGCAAAAGACAAATATTTGTTTCTCCTCTCCAACCACTAATTAGCCTGGATGTTCACAAAAGCTTAAGGAAAAAGGTGCCAAAATTCCTAGCTCCTGGATTTAGACTCGTGGAAGCTGAGAAAGGCTTGAGAGAAATTTAGTTCATGCAGAGATTTCTGGTAGTTGATGCCAGAAATCCCAATGATCAGTTGATCAGGTGTCAAGGTCATTTCTACTTGTGCAGGGGGAAGTATGTTATTTACAAATGTATCTAGTCGAAAAGCTTTGCAGAGTTGAGTGGCTGGGAAACTTATCCTTTGGATCCCCAACAGGAAAACCAATCCTGTCTGCCATGTTTATCCAAATATCATACTTCCTTTCTTAATAACAAAAATATAATTTTTATTTTTGTCAGAATCAAGGCTTCTGCCTATGCAATATCTTCCCATGAAATACAGCAATAAATCCAAGTAGGTATGCACATGCTCAGATAATTCTCCATGGTTCTAACCCTTGAAAAACAAGTCTCAGCAGCTCTTGCCTGGTTTGATGACTAAAAGCGCACAGCAGTTGCACCCCAGGGAAGGTGGTTCCCCCCACTTAGCTGATTTCTAACTCTCAGGGCCATCAGTCATCTGGGTTGCTGGTTTTGCTTCGCTTATTCTCCATGTGAACTCATTCCAAGACAAGAAAAGGGATTGATTGAGATTTTTTTGTTACTATCATACTCATTCTTTGAATAAGGATATTGGGGTCTGGGGACATAAGAACAAGACTAAGTTAAAGCACAGCCTAAAGTGAGAGTTAAGTAAATCTAGTTGTTGGAGAAGATTAATGTTCCCAATATTTGTAGTAATTTCAAGTTAAACCCAGGAGAATAGTCACCAACCAGGCAGGTGGCACTAGAGGCAGATTGTTCTCCTTGGGTGTAGTGAGTTCAAAGCTGCTCATGAAACATTAGTTTATGATTTCTCTAAAAGAAAAATCTTATTTCCACTCTTCCTCCTTCCTATTCCACTGCTTAAGAGAAAACTTAGTAAATGACCATATAGGTTAGTATGAGGATTCTTTTTAGAATAAATAATAATCTGAATTGAAGCCTATCTGATTTTATGGCATAGCAGAATTAATCCAGGAATTGGCACAGAGATGATAAGAAACAGCATAGTTTGGTAAAAGAAATGTTTGACATAGACTCTGCCCAGTTTTAGCTGTATGACTTACACAAGCCACTTCTTGTCTAGAGCTTTATTTTCCCTCACTTGAAAGATGAAAATGTTGAATTAAATGATTAAAATCCCGCTAGCCCTACAAATTCCTGATATTACAATATGTTTTACTTTTTTCTTTCTTAAGAGAGTTACTTCTATGAAATATCACTATTTATATTTTAAGTCAGAGGGATTCCATTCTAACAATCAATTTAGATTTTTCTCATTCCCCTCTTTAAGCCTCTATTTTAAATTTATAACAAGCTTGCTAAGTGGTCATGTTAATCTATGGCTTGAGACACCAATAAACATCCTTTTGTAAAAGTTCCCTTTACCTAAACTCACTATCCTAGTAGAAGTAGTGATTCAGCTCAGGGAAAACTGCCGCCAGAGTCACCGTAAGGGACCGGATGTGTCTATTGCTGCACACAATCTTTTGCATCATTCCTGCTGTAGCAACAGAGCCCATTCCAAATACCCAAACCACATAATTTTATCCAAAGGCTCCTAATTGCCAACCCAGTATGGGAATTTGGGAGCCTTTGGCAAATAAAGTTGAGCACTCATGAAATTTGGTGCAAGACTTACACAATCGCAGAAATAGTCTGTAAATACCTTCCCTCCTCCGCAGGTATGCAGACATGCACACCCATGTACAAGTAAGCTGAGCTGAGCCCTTTCTCTGGAGGGATAGGCAAGGATATTTGATTGAACTCATTTCTATGTTTTCCACTTGATTTTCTTGGATCATGGGCATCACACTGCAGCTAGAGAAGCTCTAACTTAGGTGGATGAAGTTTTGCTATCACTTCCCTTTTCAACGCCTGTGGAGTTTCTAGTGAGTAGGATACAAGGCGTGGTCCACAGGTTTCGTGTCACCAGCCATGACCTTCAAACAACCTCCTGTACTTTCTGGCATTATTGCAATGGGCCATTGCTTGCCTCTTTGCCCTATGTCCAACCTTCTCCTAAATACAGAGTGGAGATGCTATTGCTTGTGTGGTGAGCGCATTTATTGCTAGAGAACACTTCATTTCTTCAGATTTTGGGAAGTGAGGTGTAACTCTAGGACTGGATTTCAGGATTTTTATTTGTTGTTGTTGTTGTTGTTTACTTGTTTCTTCTATCAGTTTAAAAGACCTGATATGAGAGCAGCAAGATAAACAGTTTTTCAACTGACCCTCAGAAGAACCTGTAGGAAAGTGACAGAAGTCCCTAAACTCACATTCCATTTACTCTAAATAATATCTTGAATAATTACTGTTCACTTCTTTTTTTTTTTTTCTGAGTCCAGCCTTGCTTCACCTTCCAATCTCTGAGCCGACTCTCTATTTTAATATTTTTAAAACTTTTCAGTTGTTACGCAGGGATTTTTTTGTGCTAAGAATGAAACCTACTCCTGGAACAGACCTTATCACTTGGCACAGCCAGCACTGGACCTTGACAATGGGTAACCGCAGGTCCCCAGTTGCTCTGGAGACGCTTCCAATCCCTGGGTGAGTGTTGGAACCTAACAACTGACTGTTACCCTTGTCATCATCCCCTGTGGAGTTGGGGATGATGCAGCATGAGCCTTGCTACTTGTGGGGCTCTGTTTCTTCTCATGGCAACTATTTAGCCAGCCTGGAAACAGTCTGTTGCCTTTGATAGGGGACAAACATACTCACCAGCCAAACAAGTTGGACCAGCACATCTCTGAGGTTTCTTCCCCGTGGAGCAAATTCTCTGAGATGTACAAACAGAAAGCTAGCTCTCTGGTGGCTTAGGACACCACGAGATCGCTTTCCTCACTAGGAACTCATCCTTTGGCAACCAGATTCTTCTACAAATCACCTTAATTCCCTCCCTTCCTCCTTCCCCTAAAAAAATCTCAGCATTGCATCTCCATGTTGCACAACACAGATCAGATTATCTGGTCACTATAGAGATTTGTATATAAAAAAAGCTACTTTTTGGAGAATTTTTGTATATTGTTTTTCTATTTGTTTTCTACAGCTTGAGGAGAGAGCTGGCAAACTGTGAATCTAATTTTATCTTGCTGCCAGCAGATACCTATTTTTTGGCTTCCTGGTAAGAGTCCATGCTACCAGGGACAATCTATTGTTATCTGATCAGTATTACACCCCAAATTACGATAAATTACTTCAGCTCAGTTTTACATTCTTTCTTCAACAAATCCCCAAGCTTCTTTACTATTATTTATTTTAAAAAGCATGAGAATATGTATTTATAGTCCTGGATATTATATGTTTAATATTAATTTAGCCTTTCATAATGTTATAGGTTTGTATCTATTCTTCAGAAATCATAAAGAACTCAGTGGAGACTGAATTCATCTATTTAGTATCTGTAATTTTGCAGACAGATATTTTCTTATTATATTTTCTATATAACCACATATGTAGAACTGTAACTAATAGAGCACAAAAAGTTTCTATGACAACCTAGAGCTATCAGTTGTTTTCTGAGCATTTAGCCACGTTCAAAAAATTTAAGAACTTAGTCCTCAGTGATCCAGTGAATATCACCATTCAGAACAAAGAATTGCTTAAATCAAGTGGTTAAGATGTATGTTTGAACAATCTTTCTAACTCACAGAATGGTGCTCATTTTTATTTTTGACACCAGGCCTTGTTTTTCCAGCTGATCATTCTAAGTTTTTGCTTTTCTCTAAGATCATCAAAAGCAAAATGATAATAGTGCAATCATTTCTACATCACAATCTCTCATGCCTTTCTAAATGTTTATGTGAAAATTGGCTTAGAAAAATTTTGAGTAGCAAAGACTAAGAATGAGTGCTGCGAGGGAAATCAGGACAGATTTATTGCAGTTAATTCTTGCTAAGCAAAATGACAATAAGTGTCACACTATTAAATGAATTGAGCACATTATTTTTTAAATAAAAAAGTTCATACTGGTTATGAAGCAATGCTGTATGTATCACTGGGGACTGGAGGTGGGAGCTTAGAGTCACAGTGAAATTGTTTAAGAAGCCCGGGTAGTTTTTGTCCTCAGGTGAATAACAAACTATATAATCTTCCTAACAGATAAATCAGTAGTCACTGAAAAGACGAGGTATCTTTCCTCCGCCAAACACAGTTTCTGAGATGGTGGTAGGACTAGTATTTTTACCATGTTTTAAGCAGTAGTCAGTTATAGAGAGAGTGTACTAGATGTATTTGAACCTGCTCCTCATTAAGCAAACAGATTAGATGTGCCCTCAATTGGATAGGATTGCATCTGTTTTCAAGTACAGCTAGCTGTCAAAGCATGAAGTTCTTGTGTTTACTCACTGATGCTTGGTCCATGCATGAAGAACAGTGCCTATGCACTTTGTGTAGCTATAATGTAGGTATCTCTGTGTAATTTCTGTGAAATGGTGTATAGATGTATTGTAATTTAATTTAAATGTTACTTTTCGCTGTTCATCTAGACACAATAGGCATGTTGATTGGTGTTTTGTAAACCCTTCTTTTTCTTCTTAGATACCTAGCAGTGAATCATTTCTACTCTTTCTTAATGTGATTTGGGGATATGTATCAGTGAATAACTTATCTATGAAACCATTGTACCCATGATTGCTTGAATGTCTGTATGTGTCCAGCACCTTTGTAAATACACAATTCAGAGGAGGGATGGGTTGGATGAGTGTCCTGGTTCTTAGTGAAAGGACATTTGTTGTCTATATAATACTTGATGAATATAACTGTGGAGCTTTCCGTGATCTAGGCTTAGGTAGGTATAGAGTGAGGACATTCACCTACAGTCCTTTGTTTGGTGGATGGAGCTCAGAGAGACAAAGGATTAGTTTTCTCTTGTGCATGTTACCATCATGTCTTTAGGGAAGGATCAGCCTCTCTGGTTGCCAAATATTCATCCTAATGTATGTGACCTGAAAGTTCTGAAGAGCCTTGTCCCACTTAGCCTCTTGAGTTAGAATGGGAAAAATATTTACTGACTAGCTGTAGGTGAAACCCCATAGAAGCACAGTTCTGGCAGCAAATGGCACAGTTGTCATAGAAAGATTGAGTACTAGAAGCACAGGAACAGTGTACAACTTTGGGGGTTGCAGGTAGCAACTGCTGAAGCACAGATCCTATATATGTGAAGGGAGTATGACCTCCTCTACCCACGTGCTCTGTGTGTATGTTTGGAAGTGACTGAAGATGAGATTAACGAATGAAATTATACACTTGCCTCCAGAAACACACATTCTGTCTAATTAGCACTAAATGCAATGTCTAGAGCTCCTTCCCCAAGGACAGAGAAGAAATAGCAACACTGAGTGCCCCTCTTTTTTTCTCAAGGGCACAAAGCCCAGGATCATGAGGGCATAAAGCTCATTAATTTGCAATGGCTTCTTTGGATGAGTGGAATAAGCGGATATGGTGGATGGGCATATTTTTCCTTGAAAATGTGGCTTCTTCAAATTCAAGATGAAAAACTTACTGAAAAAAATTACCCTTATAGGTAAGATTATCCTTGAAGAGTCTTGTATATCCAGAATGAAAGATGAGAATAATTGTTTTCCTCACACTCACAATCCTTACTTAGCTGAAGCCATGTTGTATAGAGCATCTATAGCACATTGTATTTAAAGACTAATGTAAAAGATAAAAAGTTCAACTAATTTTTGGATTGTTTCTTATAAATGGTACTAGGAAATGCCTTGTTGGCAAAGCACATTTTGGGTAGATGAGGTCTTTCATTTTCACCTTTAGCTTTCTACACTTTCTTACAATGTTGACTGATTACTGTAACATTTCATGTGTAAAATTACTGGGTACTCTTTGTATGCTGGAAGTAACCTGTGAATTCAAAATTTCACTAAGTGTTTTAACCTTCATGTATATAGTTCTCATCAATAAATGTGGATTTCAATTTCTCTTGGTTGTTGCCTCTTCTTTAATTCCTACTTCAGCCTATTGTTGCTACAAGGTAAGGGTCTCTAATGGTCCTTATGGAAAAAGATTTATAGATTGAAGGCTATAGATCCAAATGAATATTTTCTAGGAAACTTCAATATATATGATGTGTATATATGGTAGAGTCATATGTAATAGTCCTTACTGTGTAAAGAAAAGAGGTTATTTTGGCTCATGGTTTTGGAGGCTGAAATGTCCCAGTTCAGTGGCCACATCCAACAAGGCCTTCATAGTACGTCATTATGTGGCAAATAGCATCACATGGACAAAATGCATACAAGAGTGGCCTGCGGCAGTGCAGAAGAGCCCAAACGCATGGGATAGCCTTGCTTTATAACAACCCATTCTCATGGTAAATAATCAAGTTGTGAGAGACATAATCCACTCATTGGAGATGAGCATTAGTCTTTTCTGAAGGTGATTTCCCCAGTGACCTAATTACCTCCCACTAGGCCCCACCTTTTAAAAGTTCCATCACTTCTCAACATTGCCACACCTGGGCCAAACCTAGCAATCCAAACCATAGCCAGAAGTATAAGAGAGACTCCATCTCTGTTTCTGCAGTTATCAAGGCAGGGAAAAAAGAACATGGCAAATGTTGCACTGATTCTTAAAGCTTCTTCCTGAATGTTATGTGCCCTACTTCTGTTCATATTTCAATGGCAAAAGTGAACTGATAGCTTTACTTAACTTCAAGGGGCCAGGAAGTGCAACCTCACTGACTGCATAGGAAGAAAACTTTAAATAGTTAGTGAATAGCTCTAATGCCTATTGGGCCATGAAAATTCTTTAAATCATTTATAAAGGATAATATATAAATATACAGTCTCTCAATGAGTCCAATAAACTTTTCCTCCAATTCTAAAAAAATTATTACTAGGGAAGTTGTTAGTTCCTTTTCTCTCATTGCTGAGACAAAATACCCCACACCTAAAATTAAAAGGGGGAAAGGTTTATTTGGCTTGCAGTTTGTAGAGGTTTCAGTCCATAATCAGCTGGCTTCAAGGAAGAGTAGCAGAGGGGCAACAGTTCACGGCAGTGGAAGACAGCAAAAGCAACAAGGGATCTTAAGAGCATCTTTCTGCCCCTTTTATCTTATTCAGACTACTAGGATTAGGACAATGCCAAACCAACCACTCACTTGTAGTGGTTTAGTATTCACATTCCCTTAATCCCAGCATCACACATTCCAGATTCAGCCTCCTTTGAGGCTTTTGGGGAGACATCTAAACACAAGCCATAACAGGAAGCAAATGGAAAATACTAAAAGATCATGTTAGAAAAATAAAATGCGTGGTCCTTAACTGTAGGCTCACCCTCAGATGGAGAGATGCTTATTGCAGTGAAAGGTGTTTGTCTAGAAATGCAGACATCCCCAGATAAGGACAGGCTCTCTCTATATTCCAGGGCACCCACTGGTAGATGGTCTGGATTAGGTGCATTGCTCTCTCCCTTTCTTTCTAAATGGGAAAATAGGCAAATATTTTAAGTAGTGAAATGCATAGATGTGATACATCAAAATTCTTTTCATTACCATTTATTCAATTGTTGTTAAAAATTGATGCTTTATTTGAACAGACATTTCCTTTTTCTCTTGCAGCCAAGTCTATATCACATCCACATTCAAAATATTAGCAAAATCTTAATTACAAAAAATATGCTCATTAGTATATTTCCAGGCTGCCATTTTATTTTAAGGTAGCACAGAGCCACAAATCAGAGTTAATATAAACTTCTGAACCTTTGGTATGGATACAGCTTGATCAAAATCAGCTGCTCCTTCCAGCGAAGACATAGCCAGACAGAAACTTGGCTTTGCTTGCTCAGGGACTATGACCCCTTTCTCCTGCCTCAGAGGTGTTAAATGCAACCATTGTGAGGGCCAGGTAAGTGTTGCTTTGTTACCACTGGAAAAAGAAGAAAGAAGAGGAGGAAAGGAGGCTGCATGGTGAATAGAGGGAGTGTGTGTAGAGAAGCAATTGTGGGCTGAGTTATGACACAGGAGTTCTGATCTTTGCTCAGTGATTAAATGATAGCATGTGTGTGACTACAAAGCTCCTAATCAGAGTCTCTACCCTTTGTCCATGGCTGTACTTGTCACTTTCCTGTTGCTGGACACAATATCTGATACCCACAACTGAAAGGAGGTTTAATATTGTCCATGTTTTAAGAGGATCCAGTCCATGGTCAGCTGGCTCCAAGGTAGAAACATCATGGTGGATAAGTGTGCTGGAGCAAAGGTGCTTAGTAGTTTATGGCAACCAGGAAACAGAGCAGAGAACAGTGCCAGAGAGGAAGGGGTGAGGAATCAGATATAGACCTAACGGCCACAGTTCCATGGCCAACCCAAATATACCCAAATTGTGCTCCACCGCTCCCCAAGGCTGACCCCAAAACTGATCGGGCTACACCAAACCACCACAATGACTCCCACAGCAGGCTCCCGTAGCAGGCTTCCTTAGCAGGCCCAGCTTCCAAGGGTGTACCACCCTTTGCACCCTAGTAGTCTGTCTATACACTACACCCTATTTTATGGAGTCTACCTTTCCAAGGAGAACACTGAGGCAAGCAAAAACATTTCCAGGGGAGAATTTATAGTTAAAACTAAGGATTTCTTACCTCAGGCTCACATAAGGCCTTTGAGCACAGGTGTGACAGTAGCTAAGCAGGGTGCACTTAGCCTTTGATGCTTTCTTTCATCAATAATGTGTGAGACCCAGTGGGCTCCACCCAACATCAGCAGGCTACTGCTCTGATGTAAACTGTCATTTGACAGAGGAAGTTACACACACACACACACACACACACACACACACACAATCTACCCAACAACTGCTCCTTCAGCTACATCTGTCTTAGTTCCAGCTTAGATAATAAAGTACCATAGACTTATTAACTGCCAAAATTCATTTCTCACAGTTCTAGAAGCTGGAAGTATGAGATGAGGGGGCCACATGCTCAGGTTCTGGTGAGGACTCTGGGCTGGGTTTCAGACTATAGTCTGCTCTTGTGTCCTCACCTGGCAGAAGAGAGGAAAGGGAGATTTCTGCTGACCCTTTTACAAGGACACTAATTTCATTCATGAGGGCTCTGCCCTCATGGCTTAATCAACTACCAAAGGCCCTGCTTCCTAATACCACCAGCTTGGAGGTTAAGATTTCACTACATGAATTTTGGGGTATGACATAGTCATCCAGTTCATTGCAACGTTATGGCCCCACAAAGGAGGACTGTTGGGCCATAAATAGCAATATCTCTGAAGAGGATGTGCTATGTGGCTGCCACCTAAGGCATGAGGCTCATAGGTACCTCCTTCCAGGCGCAGTGACATAAATAGGAAGCCAGGGCTCTCTACATCAAAGAGCCACAGGTGAGGGAGGGTTCAAGAAAGCTTTCCTCAGGGGCTTTTCCCCCTTGTCAGCCCAGACAGGAAGGCAAGGGTGGAGGTGCTGCCCACACAATTGACGTGGGTCATGCAAGAATAGAAGATTGTGGAGTCCCTGGCAAAAACAAATGTTTCTAGCCTAATGCTTTTTCTTCTTGGTAGTTTTCTAAGTTTAGTTAATTCGTCCTTCCACTGAGGTAGCAAAGGGTAAATTTGTTCTCTTGTTATAAGAAAACCTGAACCACAGTCAGGAATCGTGATCGTGTTCCCTCAGCTTGTTCAAAAAGAGCATAAAAAGAATAAAGCCATCCAACATAAATACTCCTTTTACTCTCAAACACTGAAAAGCAGTGACTTTAAACGCTGATGAATTCCATAAAATAGATGAATAAAACGTTATTCCACCATTTCCCTCTTGCTCCTACTGAGTCAGATGGAATATGTGAGACATCAAAATCTTTGTCTGTTTTTAGGGTAATCAGATTTTAGCCATCCAAATATTGTCTGGAAAAACAGAGTGGCCTCCAGTTAGTGGGAAAAGGAAAATATAAAACTGCCATCATCTCTGCTACCCTTTTTGTTGCACGACCTGGCTCTGCTGGAATTCTCCAATGGCTCCTGTCATTTCTCAAATGTTTTTTGGCCTGGATAGAATCCTGCTCACCAGAGGGAGGAGCCATGGAATTTTCCAGTTGCCTGTGACTGAATCCAAGCTTCAGCTGGAACAGAGTCTTCCTACTCCACCTGATCCTTGACTTTCATCTTGGTGAGGAGGAAAGAGATTCTTCCCAATTGTGATACCATAAAGGACCTCAGAGGGAAATTATTTCAAGTTTAGCCCATCCCTTCTTGCAAATGCAGAAATCTACACTCTAAATGAACTAGAGGTAACTCAGTGTCAAACCACAGTTAAATCCTGGTCCCTTTCCTAGCTTTTGATTGCTTACTTAACCTCACTTTCTTCCTCCATGGAGTGGAGCTAATTATGACTATGATGTACAGGAACTGATGAAAGAACATCCATAGGGTAGTTAGTATCATCATCATCATCATCATCATCCTTACTGTTATTAGTCACAACTTCTTAGGGACTAAGCTGGAAGAAGACATACTTCTTTTCTCACTGTTCAGCCCTTCCCACCCATATCACAAGGACACACACATAATTCATAGCTTAACTGCCCTCTCAAAAATCTGAGCTTTGTTAGTAGATTCACATTTCTTAACCCAGCCAGGCATGACCCAGCCAGGGCAGCTCATCCTCTTTCCCAGAGAAAGTTCCTAGACATTATGGGATCATCTCATGTAGTGTTCTAGCTGCTTTCTTTTTCTTGCCAAGGCTCTGATGCAAGGCACTGGATTTCTTTAGGGAAAAGAGGTAAGTCTCAGCCTGACCAAAGTGGTCTCTCACCAGGATGGGACATTGTCTTGGCCCTTCTAATGGGAAACAGGACATCCAGAAATGAAGCAATTCTTTTCTTCACTGGGAGAAGTCCCTCAGGGAGCCCCTGCCTCACAGGACTTCATGCACCAGTAGAGACAAATGTCATGAGAAAGGCCGTCTCTGTGGAATGT